TGAAAAACAATTTCCTCTAAGATTATGTTTTCTTTCTTTTTTGTTGGTAATCTATGACTGTTAAGAATTCGCCCGTCAGGGTGGTCTTTGATTAAGGTGAAAAAAGAAACCTGCTCTTGTAAATTATTCAAATTAGAAGAAACGATTACGATGACCATTACGATTTCAATAAGAGAAAGTGATAGGCTTGATTTGTAATACGAATATATTGCAATACTTTTGTTAAGTTTGATAATAGAAAATTACTGAAAATAAGATTTTTTTTCCTTTTTTGTAATAAAAGTATTTGAATAATAATAAAAAGGGATTTTTTACACGGAAAATAAATCAGGTAAAATTACCGTGTTTTATGGTAACGACATTTCTCATATAAAAAACCATAACTTTGGTTTTTAAAACCAAACTATACAGCATTTAAATCTTTGATTAAGGTGAAAAAAGGAGCCTGGTACTGTAAATTATTCAAATTAGAGGAAACGATTACGATGACCATTACGATTTCAATAAGAGAAAGTGATAAACTTGATTTGTAATGCGAATATATTGCAATACTTTTGTTAAGTCTGATAAAAGAAAATTACTGAAAATAAGATTTTTTTTTCTTTTTTTTGTGATGAAAGAATTTGAATAATAATAAAGATGAATTTTTTAGACGGAAAAAAAAATCATGTAAAATTACCTTATTGTATGATAACGACATTTCTCATACAAAAAACTATAACTTGGGTTATTAAAACCAAAATATACGGTATCTAAACCATGTATTTGGTAATTTTTACATTCATATGATAACAGCTTACCGGAAATTTTTAACTTCAAAATTAAAGTTATTATTACCATACATTTAGTAAAAATACAAAATTGAGAAGTAAATTTAACCGAATAAATGGTTTTCTGCTATGCTCTTAGGTATCGTGATAAACTTAACAAATTTTACATTTGCCAAATTTCATCACATATTATAAAACCATATTTTACTTTTAATTTTACTAAAATCATTAACAAAGCGCTTAGGTAAAAATTACCTGGTGTTCTTAAAGAGCCAGCAACACGGTACATTTTACCATATTCTGGTATTTTTCACCCTTTTTTTTCTCAGTGTCATGTGAAAACTTTTTGATTTCATTTTTTACTAGGATTCTAGAAATACATATATTAAAACCGGGGATTATAGAACATCCTAACCACGTAAAATGAAGAACTTATCATTTCCGTAATCTTAGTTGATCTTCATAATTTTAGATAAAGTATGAAATTAAGAACTTTCTTATTTCATTAATTAAGTTAATCTTCGCCATTTTAACGTAGTATGAAATTTAATGCATTTCGAAAAAAATCCAGTTTATAGTTTTAGCATTTATTAACCATACAACAGATTTTAAATGTAACAATTTCTGACATTAAGAGAAGTACATTACACTTGGGCTTACGACTTAGTATAGGAAACATTGTTATCAAAATTCTGCTGGTATGAAACCAATAAGATAACACAGTGATAGTATGAGTCACTGAACTAATCATGTTTGTTTTCTTCTTATTTTTACTCTTAAGGATTTACAAAATAAATGTTCTTCATTTTTAAGATTTATTTTCTTTATTTTGTTTCAAAGATTTCTTCTTTCTTGCGTAACGTTTTATGAACACCATATCATATCATTTAAACCGCAATAAAATGTAGATTTTGATAAGTAAGTTGCTTTCCTACTGTATTTTACGAAATAGTATTAATCAGCATCAGGAAAGGGGGTTTCTTTCTTAACTATTTAATGGGCCATTTGTTTCTAGTAAAGGTAAATTAAAATATTTTTGGAATTGAAATTGATATAATAGTAGTAATTGATATAAGCAAAAAAAACTAANATAAGAATCGTAATGATGTAAGGAAAAAGAACTAATTTAACTTATAAAAAATTAATCTAAATTTTAAGTATATTTACCACGACCTATTAGGAACTTATTGACTTTTATTTTTCGTTATTTATAAAATACATTGTAGAAATGCTACAAACTTCAAAAGGAATTATGTATTTTATAACTTTTATACGTTTTCTTAAACTAACAAATGGTTATCAATTTTATTCAAACGCACTTCAAGAAAGTTGAAGTTATTAAAAAATGGCAACCTAAATTGAAAGTGGTAAAAAAGTTACCATGGACTTTAAAAATTGGTGGTAAGTATACTTACCACGGCCTTAAAAAGGGTTAAAATCGGAGAATGTTTACATTCCCAACGCAAGAGTTGTGAAATTTTTCTGACAAATAATTTAAAGATTATTTTTACCATTTATAATTTAATTAAGAACTTCAATTCCTATTTGATAACGTTTTTTCAATGATAAACTTCTAACTTTATTGGTCCTTTATAAGAATAACTTTTCAGGGTAAAAAATTAATCTGAAACATTTATTTTAGCGTAAAAAGAATCAAATCTGTTGGGAATTTCAACAATTATATACATTTCACTTGATCGGCTCAGTGTTTAACGCACTGACTGTCATTATAAAGAACTGGGTTCGATCCCCAGTGGCAGTTTGAAGCCCACCCACCTTCAGATTGATAGGGGGGAAGCTGGTTTGGGAAATAAAAGTGGCCTATGCACAATGCAGATTGCATTACGACTGGTCACGGAATTGTGAAGCCTTAACCTTCATGGTCCCCCCTGGCACACATTGGGCTGTTGCGGGAATGCTTTATTTTACGTTTAACTTAAATGCAGGATGTTTATGCTTTTGTTGATTGTTAATCAACCCCCATTGGCTTTTCATTAAGCGTTAAATTAATTGAGATTTAGTTATCAAGTGAATAATTTCGTGGTTTTTCTCCCCATATTACGTAACATTTCAAAAACGAGCTTTAATGACTGCTTGAATTTTAGAATTTCCTATTCTTTTAAACTGGATTCAAAATTTACAAAAATTCAAAACAATTTAACTTTAATTTCAATCAACTTAGCAAGTGGATTGGCTGATCATCAATGATTAAAAATTAAATAAATTTTATTTATAGAGTTATAATTCTTACCATTGTATACGACATAATGGTTTCTTTAATAAAATGATAAATGAAACCTTAGATATGTACAAAGTGAAAAATATTTTCAAAGGCTTTGTTATTTTTAAGCGCTGATATATTGGATTTGATAAGTTTCAAAATAACTGAAATAGATATCAAGCCAAATAACTGAAATAGATATCAGACCAAACAATTGAAAATTCTTGACAAAGTCAATACAGGAAAGAATCAAAACCAAAATAAAACGCAAGAACTATAATCAAAACCAAGTCAAAAACAAAAGTGAAAGGAAAATAAAAGAAGACAAAGCACAGAAGTAGGAAAACATAGAAAAGTCAGTATTTTACGAGATGAATCGTAGTTAATAGAATCGGAAAAACAGATCAGAAATGGTTGCTATCTATATATTATTCTTACCAAAAGAAAGATTTTTCTTCTCTGACAAAAAACTAACACAGATTGCACTAATAACATCATTTCAATACGTTTAACTACAATTAAAATTAATTTACAATTTACTGCACTTTTACATTTTTATCATGAATTAAATCATTAAATTTAATGGTTTTTTAAAATTCTTATTTTGATTGTAAACTTTTAGAATTTCCATTCTGAAATTATGTAAAATAACCGACAGCAGTCTGTTCCTCTAATTAACCGTAAAGTTTGTGGTAAAAACATTTTTTACTTTTACGGTTTTAAAACCGTTTACGACTAGTATGGTTGGAAAAAAAACTATGAATACAAAACTATACGGTTTTTTAGCCATTTATAAGTAGCATGGTTTCAAAACCATAAAAAATTTAAACTGAACACTGTTGATAGTTTAGCAGCTTTTTGGTGCTGCCATCTATATGTGAATGAGAGTATTGTATTCTAATAGCCAAGAGTCACAAATTGGGTAATACAGATCACTGGAAACTCTTATGTGTTGAAAGGAATGGAGACTATATTGTGATGTCGACGTTGGAACTCGAACCCCCGCTTTGTCGGTCATTAGACTGGCAGTTTATTATATCGGCTATAACATGTACCCATCTGCTGGGATTTAAGTGGCTTGATTAGGTGGGTCTAGTTACTGCAGTAAAATTCTTGTTGTTCAACCGTACAAGGGGAAAGCAGTTATTTAAGGGTTTTCTCATAGTTAACAGTTTGAATATCGTTTTATTTAGGGTTACTTGACTGTTTTGTTTGAATATCGTAAAGTAAAAATTAAATAAATTGTTATTTTACCATTTTTTCCAAGATACTTCTAGCAGTGTATTATATATTACATTATAAATTTTATCTCAAAAATAATTTGAGTAAACAACACAAAAAATCTTCTTTTCGCTTCAAAAATCTATCTCTGAAATGCTTCATTCATTTGAAATGTATATTCAAGAGCTCCAATACTTTTATTTATTTTTGAAAAAGTCAAATTTTCATTTTATTGTAGTCACTATCTAAATATCGTATTTAAGTTTCTGAAATGTCTATTTGCGACATGGAAATAATTACCAACGATGGTGTTTCTGTAAAGGAATGAACGATCTCGACGTCAAATTTGATCTGAATCTATAAATTTCAATTCACTAGCATTTGACTCTAGTATACTAAGCACAATGACGATATTACGTTTAAATTTGATTACTACACCAAAATATGACGTCCTAAAGATTGAAATATTTCTTATTTTCAACGTCTTAAGAACATATTTCAGAAATGTAAATGCAATGACGTTTTAGAGAGTACATAAAATTCATAGTATACAAAGCGTGTTGATGTAAATACATTTAAATTTGATTAACATACTGAAATATGACGTCATGAATATTTCGAACGCTTCTGATGCAAGGCGATGAAATTATATTTTATTTGTCCCATAGATATCATTCAAAAGTGTAAAAGCATTTTTTCAATTAAGATTGCAAAAAAGCGAATAAACTTTATCTTTCAATTGTAACTTATAGTTAAATGTATTAACGTAATATTTTCTTTCATTTTAGAGTGATAATGTTTACTTGGAAAATTTTGGTGCTTCTAGCTCTTTTCTTCTACTCAGAAGTCAATCTTATATTGGCAAAGAAAGGAGGTAAGTCTCAATATTAAACATAATGAACATTTATTATTTTAAATATTTTGATCAAATAAACTAAATAAACTAAAATCAATTATACTTGCTTTGTTCCAGTTCTAATTGTTCCGATTTCTAGAATCTGTTTTAGTTATACACAGATATATTTTTACACAAATCTATTTAGAACCTGTTCCATTTCATGTTAGTTGTGTTCCAAGTTGTCTAAAATAAGTAATTTTCAGAAAAGTGTTCCAGTTCAACCCAAATTGTCCCTCCAAAAAAAGTATTAAGCATTCTTCCAAAAATAATTTTGTTTTATGATTACTTTTCTAGTTAATATTGTTAAAATTAAAGATAGTAAATTTTTTGTTCTATACGTAAAAAATGACCTTCCAAACATTTTTTTAAAACACTAAATCTACACTAAAGAATGGATACTCAAATTTCACAAAACTTTCTTTATTTTCCATGAAACCGTTTCCTGATATAATTTATAATTTTACTACATATTTCCGAGCGAACATTTCGTCAAAGTGACAAAATAACTATCGTCATTTCTTCGAGGAAACGAATTTCGCCAGCCTAGTTTCGATCATCTAATCTTCAGTCTAGTTTCGATCATCTAGTCTTCATTCTAGTTAAAAAATCTCCCACAATGCACTGCGATGAGGTTCCAAGTTGAGGAAAAATTTTCGTTATATATTTGAGAGTTCGCGTTTCGTCACAAATCACGCGATTTCGTAACAAAAGATTCTCAAAACTATCGAAATACAGCCCAAGGATTGCTGAATCGTCAAAAGTGAGTTTTATTTCTGTGAGTGAAGTTAATAAAAAATTTCGATGATAAACTTTCTAACACTATTTCAAGGTTATTTTTTAAAAAATTATATTTATATTCATTACTATAGCCGCCATACCTATCAGGATTGTTAAGAAATTATTGATGTGTAGTGAACAATAACGAATATTCAAAGAATTAACGAATATTAACGAATGAAATAATTAACGAATATTCTTTGAATATTCGTGCAAACGAATATTCAAAGATATCAAGTTGTATTATATAAACGTGTAATTACCGCGATTCTCTTTTGATTGCAACACGAACAAACAATTTTACTAGTAAAATTACATAGTAATTGCAAAATTTTCACGTTTTGAAGGGACATATTTTTTCAATATATAAAGTAGTAATAAATTTTATGATTTACCATTTTATTTTTGATTTAATAAATATTATTTACAATGATTGTAATCAGGTACTACTTCTAAACAATTAATTGATAATCTGATAATTGTGCAGATAAGATAATAAGATCTGATAATAAGATCTGATAATTGTGCAGTGAAACATGTAAGCACGCACTAAGTTAAACAAATTAAAACGTAACCACAATTGTTATTTCACTATTTATATATTAAGCGCAGCTAAGACTTTCGGATCTCTGTAGTTACAACTTCAAATTCATAATTTCGGTTCAACAATAATCTTGCCGTATAGGCTTTTAGTCTGAGTGTGATTAACAAATCATTACGGCTTGATCATTAACCAGACTCGTAATATCTCAAAGGTGCAGAAAACTTGGACCATATTAAGATTTTTTTGACCGATATTATGGTGCAAGGATAGGTATCTCTCTAGTTGCAACTTATTTCAGCTCCATAATATCCGTTCAACAATAATCTTGCCGTATGAGGTTTTAGTCTGAGTGGGATTAACAAATCATTACGGCTTGATTATTAACCAGACTCGTAATATCTCAAAGGTGCACCAAATTTGGACCATATTAAGATTTTTTTGATCGATATTAAGGTGCAAAGATACGTATCTCTGTAGTTGCCACTTATTTCAGCTCTTAATATCGGTTCAACAATAATCTTGCCGTATGGGGTTTTAGTCTGAGTGGGATTGACAAATCATTACGGCTTGATCATTTAACCAGACTCGTAATATCTCAAAGGTGCACCAAATTTGGACCATATTAAGATTTTTTTGATCGATATTAAGGTGCAAAGATACGTATCTCTGTAGTTGCCACTTATTTCAGCTCCTAATATCGGTTCAACAATAATCTTGCCGTATGAGGTTTTAGTCTGAGTGGGATTGACAAATCATTACGGCTTGATCATTTAACCAGACTCGTAATATCTGAAAGGTGCAGAAAACTTGGACCATATTATGGTGCAAAGATACGTATTTCTGTAGTTGCCACTTATTTCAGCTCCTAATATCGGTTCAGCAATAATCTTGCCGTATGGGGTTTTAGTCTGAGTGGGATTAACAAATCATTACGGCTTGATCATTAACCAGACTCGTATTATCTCAAAGGAGCACCAAATTTGAACCTTATTAAGACTTTTAGACCGATATTATGGTTCAATGATACATAGTAAATTCATTGGTTGAATAATTAAAATAGATCAAAAATGAAACAGTTGAAAATACTATCAAAACACTATTTCAAGGTTGCAACATGATATTGTCAGTAAAATTAATTACTAAAAAAATCAGAAAAAGGATGTAGTAAATAAATATTAAGAAGAATTTTCTATTGACATATTTTTAGAGCGAATACTCTGAGAAAAAAAAGTAAGGTCAAATCAACTTGAATAGGGATACACCAAAAATCTCCGTAAAAAACGGAAAAATTACCGATCGAATGGTTAAAATACCGTATATTTTGGTTTTATTGGGCAGATTTTTTTTTTTGCAAGGAATGTCATTATTATTATTCAGTACTGTAATTTTACGATGTTTTTTTTTCTCCGTGTATAAAATAAAATAAAAATTCTTTCCTATTTTGCTTTGCACATGTTTAAACAAACTTCGCAACAACATTAATTGGATATTAACTCGCATGCAAAATTTATTTTATTTGTATTTTTAATGAGAGACTTTCTTTTGTTCAATTTATTTCAGAACCTTTTTTCAATTATATTTTTTTACTCATTGCAAAATAATAGCATTTTTGCCGCTTAATCCTATTGCATTTTTCCAAGATATTTGTTTGTTTTTTTATGCATTCATTGTAAACACCAAATAAATACTTATGTCAGCGAACTTATCCCCAGGGAATATGCAAGTATTTCCCCACCAGCATTAACCACAAAAAATATATTACGTTCAAGACATTTTTCCCCAGTAGGGATTAATATTCACAATTATGCAAGTAAACAGAAAATTACTATTTACGAAAAGTCATAATTTCTTTTTCTGTATTCTTACTCCATTGTTTCTATTTGTTTGCTCTATTAGGAAATGTTAATACCCGAAATTAATACAAAAAACTTATTAAGCCGTCAATTTCAATTAAATTATTTTCATTTAGCGATGTCTTATAATTAGGTACTGCGTAATAGGGAAAATATTTTCTTTATAGTTACCACTATTTTTTTTTATTTAAATGTACTCCTTGACGCGCAAAAATCTAATCTTATTTTGATTTTTTTTTATCATTATATGTTATTGTATGACAATAATAAAGAAATTTAGAATTTATTCAATATTAATACATTTATTATTTTACAAATAACCTGGCAAATAATCGATAGAAAATAAAAGCACTATTTTTAAAAATTTATATTTAAATTTTAAATTACTTTTGGCATGAAAATGTACTTAGATTAAGGTAATGTAAAAATTTGCTCACTCTCAAAAAAATCAGTTCAATGTTGAACTATATTAAGAGTACCTTAAAATTATAAATATAGTGCAATTTTAATAAGTCGTTAAATAAAATCATATTTTCACACCAGTTAAATCATGCAATGAGAAGAAAAAAGTTTAGTCAAAACTAATAGAATATGATAAGATTTACTGTGTTTGTAGCTCTATGGGAACACCAAAAAGCGCGGTAATTTTTACCAAAGCACTTTGGTAATGATTTTTGCAAATTTAACAATAAAATATGACTCAACTTGTCAACAAGACTCCAATCGTGTCAAACAAAAGGCCCTAATTGATAAAACCAAAATTATTTTTGCACCATGCAAATTGGTAAATATAATTCTGGAACATTTCACTCAAGGTCGGACTGGACATAGGGCCGAAATTGCTATTGCCCCCTGGGTACCAGCTTCTATAGTGGGCCTTCTCTGAAGATGGGGCCCTTAGACCCGATTTCGATTTCAATTGAAAACCACATTGAAAAAAGGAAAACATAGTTTAAGAATAATATTATTGTAATTTTTTTCATTGTTATAATTATGAATATAATTCTTTTCAAAAATTTACATACTGAATGAGACTCGAGACCGGGAAACAATGTATTGTAGGGAACAATGTCTAATGTCGGCGCTAACAGCTTGGGGTCGCTCCCCGTGACTTTTTAGGTCCAAGGATTGTCCCTCAAAATATGGAAGGGGAAAAAAGAAAAATATCTCAACACAAAATGATACGTTGTAATTACGAGTTATAAAACAAAACTAGCAACCATTTTCTAATATCTTTTATAGATAATTTTACGAACTTGCAAAAGTAATTTTATAATTCACGCCAATATATTCCTTTGTCTAGAATAAGAAATTAGTTAGGTCCTTTAAAAATGAAACATAAAATATTTAGCTTGTTAAAGGAAGAAGCAAGAGTAGTAATAAATTTTATTTTATTTATAATCAGCGTTTAACAGCCGACCCAATTCTCAGTTTATTCTAAGTTAAAACTATCAACGTTCAACCTCATGGCCTTGCAATTTTGAACCTAACCCAGAGGACAAGAGAACTCCTGGATCAAGCATTGGGACAAACTAGTCGGTATGGAGGACTTTTTGATTGAACTACCCCGCATTTGCTTTGCACGGAGATGAAAACTACGAAAGCCTCCCATGGTTAGTTTGACGGCAAGGGGATTCTAACCCATAATCCATCGACACCTGAGAATATTTCACGTCAGCACTGTAGTTGGTGAGTTCCGGGCGCAGAATTCGTGTTGGGATTCGAACCTGAGTCACCTCATTGGGTGGAGATTGCTCTATCCCTCAAGCTATCACGGCTCTTCCAATGAATTTAATAAATCA